AGCTCAGTCTGACCAGCTATTTTATTTAAGCATTTTGTTATAATACTGCGTGATTTTTCTATATAATTTAAAGAGGTAATATCAGATGATAAAAATTTTTCTAGAGTTATAGCATACATTAAAAATGAACTGTGTGTACTAACTTCTGTTTTGGTAATATAATTTGTAATATAATAAATATAAGCTAAAGAAAGTTTTCGAGCTGAAATAAATTTAATATCATTATTTCCACAGCATGCTGATGTTATAAATAGATTGTAATTATTGATAAAAGTATTAGAGTGTGGAACAGCTATTATTCCTTGTTCAGAAAAAACCAAACCAGATGGGTCTACTAGTTCTCTTAGAAAATCAAATCTACATTGTTTTTGTAACCCACGATTATATTTTTTGCATGTTTTAGTGCAATGGTGAACAAGTGTACGTTTAACTATTGCAAGTAAATCTAAACGAAATTTTTCTGTAAAATCAGGTAAATTTGGATTAGGAATTGGAAAAAAGGATGGATGCATTCTTTTTTCTTGCAATGTTTTAGGAGCTATGTGATCTGAATTAAGCATGTTATCTGTTAAAATTTCACCTTTTTTAAGAAGATAACTAAGATCTTCACGAACAATACTGCTAATATAATTTAATAATTGCAAATGAAATTCTGTATTATCTATTAGTTTTTGGCGTAAAGTAAGTGGATCAAGTGCACCATAAAGCCATATAAGTAAATAGAAATGAGGTGTTCCACGATCTTGATATTCAACAACACTATAATAATTTTTTATAAAGCTAAATACACCTCCACATTTTTTATTATAGCCAATAATTGAATTAAGAATATTTTGAATAATAATATTAAAATATTTTGCAATAGCTAAAGGATCAAGATGTGCAAGATGAGCTCTTTCTATAGCTTTTGAAAATTATTTAGTAATAGTTTATTAATATCAATTTCTTTTCTAGCATACATCATAACTATAGGACTATAAAGATCTATTGGATTTATAGTAATAAATAGTGAAGGCATACCATCTCGTACTATAACAGCAAATATTTCATTACACATACAGATTTTTGATTGATGAGATGCCATTAATTTAGAACCAACAGAATTAATATTTTTAAGTAATTGTATAATTGCAGAATTTGATAATGGTTGTTTATTTTGTTCTTGTTCAATAGCTATCTTTATATCACTTAATTTAATTGATGAAATTAACTCTGCTGATTTTTCAAAGGTTTTGCCTTTACTTAAACTATATGATTCTGATGATACTTCTTGTCTTTGTAAAATATCAAATGCAACAAAAGGAAATGATCTGTGCTGTCAAAATTTAGAATCATGAAGGTGCATAAAATAATTAATATACTTTTTTAAAGATATATATTGTAATCGACCTTCATGACCCCCAACACCATATGGATATAAAGTAGGAAATCCAGCTGGAAATAAGTTTTTATTTTCATATTCATTTAATGGTTTCTTTCTATGGGGTACATAAATAAGTTGTGGTTGTAAATATTTATTATTACTATTTTGTTCACTAGACAATAATTGATTTTTAGATTGTTTTTTTGAATTTTCTATAAGTTTTTGCAGTGAAAGTAAAGTAAACTCCTTTTTAGATAATGGTATATCATCAACTTGCATCATACCCAAAGTTCTTAATTCATATGCACTGCCTATTGTATTTTTAACAATAAAATCTTCATTTTCATTTTCGCTATCTGTTTCATCATAATTGTTAGACTCACTTTGCATATATCCAGTATAATGTTCTGCTTTTATAAAATCAAAATCCACGACAGTAATAGTTGCTTTTAAAGCATCAGGAATTTCTCCTTCAGGCAAACTTTCTAGAGCACTTTTATTAATTTCAAAAACTTTAAATAAAATATTATGTTTAAAAAGCCAATGAAGAGCTATAATAACTTTACTTTTTCAAACTTGCAATATTTTCTTAAGATGGTAATTAGTAGAAGCTCCTTGTCCAACAAAGACTACTTTTAAATATTCATATAGTTGATACATTGGTAAAGGTAATAATTTTATTAATGAACCTAGATTTTGAGGTAATGTTATAACATGCCCTTTAAGTTTATAATGTGTATGTTTTTTATTAGATATTTGAATAAGGTTCATACACAGATAACTAGGAGAAATAATTAGTTGTTCAGGAATAGTTAGATCTTGAAGACACAATGGTGTAGATCCAACCCACATGTTGTTAGCTAAAGACAAAGGAGGTGTTTTGTGATCTTGCAAGTATTTATAGCAAGTTTTACAAATCCGTAGATCAAATGGATTACTATTTTTTTCTTGATATTCTGTTCTATATATAAATCCAGCTCTATCAAGCAAAATCTTAATTCCAATAGAATCAATATATGGATGATTATAACAAAAATCTATTTCAAAAGATGGTTCAGTAAGTTGAGCTGATGCCTTAAGTAAAAAAAAATCGATTTCTTCTACCATAACTTTTTTGTAATCTGTTTTAGTATAAAGCTCAGAACAAATAGCACATGGCAATTCTCTTAAGTTATCAAGATCAATTTTCTCTCGAAATTCTGCCAAACAACTTTTTGATATTTCTGGATCAATTATATTTGGCCATGTAATATGCTTTTTAATTGCATTTTCAAAGTCTTCATTCATTTCCAAAACACGTAAAGGAATATTGGCTGTTTTTGCTTGATTATCTCTTGAAAGACGTACATTAATTTTTCTTTGCTTTCGACGATTATTTTGCATAGCATTATATCTTTGAACATATTCTTAATTATGACGAAGTTTTGTTACACATTGCTGCGATTTATGATTTTCAGATATTTTAAAATCTGAATTAGCACGTTGAGCTGCTATTTGTTCACGTTTTTTTAACTTTCTCAATTCACCTCTGGTTCTAATAACAGTCATATTATATGTAGCAGTAAATATAATAGTATTTACAAATAATTTATATATATATTAATATGAAAAAGACAAGAAATATAAAAGTAAAAATAAGTTAATTTGCAAGACGTGTGACTAATAACTTGGCAAAAATATTTAGTTATTAATAATTTAATAGAGTTAAAAGAATTTTCTTTACTTAAAATTTTATTAATTAAACTTACAAAAGTTATTTCTTTATAATAGCGAAAATACTATTTTTTTATTAGAAATTAAGGAGCTTTTGAAGGTTTTTAATTTTTCGTCTCTCAAGCCTTTTCATTTGATTATTTCTTTCTTTGGATAAAATGATATCTACTTCTAATTTTTATAAATTATTTATAATATATTCACTTTTTAATTCAAGTTTTTTTACTAGCTATTATCTCTTAGCCACTATGACTCTTGTTTGTTTATACGGTTGTTTACGTTAGTCATTTATAATCATCTTATAAGTCATATTATAGTCAAATTTTCTTAGCATAAATATTTGTGGCAGTTTAACATTTATTTATTTGATTTATGGGATTTATGGCTCAGTTAAAGTTAAATTTTAGAAAGATTATTTTTAGATTGTGACAATATATACGTAACCAAACCTTCCAAGCCAAATGGACATAGTAGATAGATTTTGTATTTATAAAAGATGATTAGATTTGAAAATATTATATTTATATAACGGAAACAGAAATGATAGATTAATTTTTATCAGATTTAATAGAATATTGGGTTCGACAGGATTGGTTTAGAGAAGTTTAATTATCTAAAATCAAATAAATTTATGCTTAAATTGCTTAATAAATAGTTATGAATTATAAAAAAATTGGAAATAAAGAATTTTATTTAAATCTCTAAAGCTTACTTATAATTATTTATTATAACCTTTCCATAAAATAAAAGTTAACTCTAACCTTTAATTTTAAAAAATTTACTTCAAAAATAATATTTTTAGTAGCTTGTTTATTTTTATATGTATAATATTTTATTTTAATTCAATTTAATTTAATCTATCGCAATCAACATTAAATTTTTATATACGATCTGTTACTATTATATAGTTGGAATATTCAGGTCTCGTCCAATTCTAATTCTACTAAGATTAATTAATTAGTGCTAATAAATATATCTTTTGCCAATCAATATATTACACATTTATAATAAGCATATTATCAAAAAAAGGGTTAAACATAATATATGAAAATAAATTACAAGTATTGTTTTTTTTTATCATTCTGTTTTAACTGTGAACCACGTATCTAGAATGCTGCTGATTTTTTGTCATATAATTGATCAGCTGTGACAAATATTTGCATTTTATTGATGTAGCATAAAAATATTTTTACAGTACTTAGCATAGTAATTGAACAATTAACACAACTTAAGTAACGTGTTATTAAGTATTTACATTATCAATATAGTAGTAATATTTTTAAAATATATATATATACATATAACGCCTTAAAATTATTATTATATTTTTATATTAAAAATTTTCAGATTTTCAGAACCTTCAAACTTAAAGTTAAAAAATGCCTTCACATGTTACTTTAATTGTTGTTATAACTACTAAAGAAAGTACTAATTCACTTACACAGGGTATGGCTAAATATCAACCTGCTAATGATAATTTTCAAATAGTCTACTGGAAATATTTTTACCCTTATCAAAAATCATATTCTAACTTTTCAGTAGGTGATATAGTTTTATTTTCTGGAAAGTTTATAATTGAAAATTCAGAACAATATATCAATGTTACTCATGTTACTGTTATTGCCGCTGGAGATCTTTATTAAGAATTTGAACCTGAGGAAATTCCTATTAGTATTCCGCATTGTATGTTTTCTATAACAGTAAAGCATGAAACAAGAAACATGAGAGATATGACTCACTTTGAAGCAGATTGTTACCAATATAACTCAATTACTAGCAGTTGTAATGTTCTTATGAAAATGACTTTCCTTTTTCCCACCAATGCACCCAGATTTAACCATTTCATACAGGTATTAATGTAAACCGCACATTACTTGTATCAGGTTTTTTTAAATGCATCAAAAATGAAATTATTTATATAGAGGCTACAGATATTGACTATATGAATACTCTTAACACTGATTATAATAAACAAGGAGGCGTTTCAACTATATCAGATATTAGCTCAGATATTGACCTTATTGCAGAAGAAATTGAATCTACCACTTCTCGAGCACCAAAAAGATATCGTAATTTAACATCCAAAAATTCTAATAAAGATGATGATCCTAATTTTATTACAAAAGAAAAACCAGTATCTGATACCGAACATACTCAAAATAAAAAAGAAAAAGAAAAAGAATCTAGTGACATTGAAATCTTAGAAGAATCGGATCTTAGAGAACAAAGAAAAAAAGGAAATATGAATGAAAAAACAGCATATGATATTAAACATACTCAAAATAAAAAAGTAAAAGAAACTTTTATGGAAAATGAGAGCAGTGTTGAAGATGAAGAAAAGGAACCTAGTGACGAAGATGAAATTTTAGAAGAGTCAAATAATTCAAAACTCAGTGGACAAAAGAGGAAAAGAAATATGAAAGAAGAACAAGCATCTAGTACTAAACGAACTAAAAATAAAAAAGGAAAAGAAACTTTTAAACCAAACATTGAAGGTAATATGGAAAAAGAGTGCAATCTTGAAGATGAAGAAAAAGTGCCTAGTGGCGAAGATGAAAAATTAGAAGAATTAAATAATGAAAAAATTAGAGGACAAAAACGAAAAAGAAATATGAGAAGAAAATAATAGTTAAATTAATGAGATGTCTTAGGATTAAATTACGGGAATCTGATTTAATTTAAATAAGAGAACGTGCTAATTTTAATGTATTTATCATCTTCGACATTAAAAGTTAATTGTCTTATGAAATAGGAGTGTCTAAACACTCCCACTTATTTCTGATCTCAAATTATGAAATATAGATTTTTAATAAATCCATTTATTTCTGATATACACTTATTTTTTTAATTTAGAAACTCCTAATTTTCTAAATTTCTCGATTGTACCATAAATAAATATTGATGGTTTATATTTCTTAATAAAGTTGTAACATTTTATAAGTAGTGAAATATAATATATACAATATATATATAAGCAAATTTGTAAACACAATCGTAACTTACAAATAAAATCAGATACTATATAACAACTCAAATTTAGCACTCATACGTATACTGGTAAATATGTAATGCATTTCGTAGAGCGAAAAAATAAATCAGATAGGCAGACATTCGTGTGATTGGCTGTCTGAATCAAATTAATTTTACATTATTTGTACAGTTTAAAGAACTTTTTTAAAAAAAGAAAACTACCACGAATAAACAAAAAAAAAAGTATATAGAAAGTTTTGTAGGACTCCACTATTAAAAATAATCAAACTTCTTTTTTGTTTTAGAGAAGTTAGCAATTAGGTTATTACCGTGCTAACTTCTCTTAAACAAAAAACAATTTTGATTATTTTTAATAGTGGAGTCCTACAACAATAAAACTTTCTATATACTTTTTTTTTGTTTATTCGTGGTAGTTTTCTTTTTTTTAAAAAGTTCTTTAAACTGTACAAATAATGTAAAATTAATTTGATTTAAACTATACGAATGTCTGCTTATGAGATCAACCCCGTAAACACCCGTAAAAATAAAAACAGAAAGATCTACGATCATGCCGACCAACCAAATATGAGAGTTTGGGTACGTACATCATCGAACATGGCTGTAAACCATACTCTTCGTTTCACTTCCGTGAAACTCCGTTCCTGGTACTCCTTTGAACGCAAAAAGCCTGTCCAATGCGTACCAAGATTCTTAGGTGGTAATATAAAATCCTCATTCGGATCTAAAATATCAGACTCAATGATATCTTCAGAGTCCATAATATCTTCAGAATCTATGATATTTTCGGATTCCAAAATATCTTCAAAGTCCATAATTTAAAATAAAAGTAATGATAAGAAATATTATAGATAGAAAAACGAGGATTTAAAACAATAAAGGTAAAATTTTAATATGACTATATAAAGAATTTATTTAGTGTTTAAATTATATTTAAATTGATCGATCAGATAATGTTTAGAGGTATTTAGGTGTTAAGAACTATTTTCTTTTAAAGTATTTTACTGCACCTTTTATATATTTTCATTAACTATCTTCGCTAGCTATTTTATCTCTTAAAACTATTATTCCTTGATATTTATTTCTCCTTAATCACAGTTCAGTTTGGGTCTCTTACTAATCTAGAAAATCTAATACAGTCTATAATTAAAACATGGAAAGATAATATAATATATGCGAGAATTGATTAAGACACAAGACAATTGTATATAGTCTAGGCCGAATAAAACTAATGTAATAAATAGCGAAAGAAAAAAATTATGAAGCAAAATTCCCTTTTTGTGAGCATAGTATGAAAGATTTGTAACTTGCATAACACTATTCTGATTCTAATCGAGCTATTTTTTTTGTCTTTATAAATTTTACTAAAAGTAATATTACTATACATAATATTTATAAAGCTACTATCAAAATATGTGCAAGAATTTAATTACAGAAACTGCATTACGAAAGTTAATATTTGATTAATTACTAATGCAACAAAAAATATAAGCACTATAAATGTTTTAAACTTTTATAAATATTATCATTTGATGCATCTTTGTTTTGCAAAGATCAATTAACCTTTAAACAATACTGTGATAATAGTCATACAAATCTCTGTAATTATTGGCGCGAGAATTTTTGGTAACAATACTGCAATAATAGTCATACAAAGAATTTCTAATATGTACATACGTACGATATACGCAATATAGATATCTAGTTTCTTTTTTATATTGTAACCTTTATTATCATAACATGTTATATTTTCTCGTCTTCATAATTATTGTCGCAGATCATAATTTAAAATGAAATCGACATTTTCTACTCAACCTGTTGACCTTCTAAAACTTGTTTATTATAACTTTACTTTATAACTAACCCCTAACCCTAACCCCTAGCCCTAAAAAATGCGCTCCAAAAAAT